AGCTTTATGAGATTGCGATTAACTGAGATGTCAGCTTTTTGTGATAATAAAGGAAGCGTGCTGCTCGCATTCTGCCATGCCAAACCATGCACGCAGCAGCCCATGCTTGCTTTTCTGTTAAAAATGACAGTGGTTTGTGAATGTTGATGCTTAGCCTAAATAACAAATATTTTATCGGGAGTGTTTATGCTGGGATGTTGTGGAGCTTAGGAGATGTTACAGAACCATTTCATGTAAATTTCTCCAATGTACTGAAAGAAATCTATATAGATTATTTTTAATGCGGGCTTTTGCGGGCAGGAGCGGGACAAAAGATGAATGTCGCGGGTGGGAGCGGGACCAGATAAGATATATTTCTGCGGGCGGGCGCGGGACAGAATCTTGCGCGCAGGTCTCTACTGTAAAATGTGTGTATAGCATTACAAGTTCACAGTTGCTCTTGTAATTTCACTCATTTATAAACATTTATAAACATTTCTACTGTAATTTTACAATGATAGCTGTAAAATACAGTTTGCTGTATTTTTACAGTACAATTGTAATTATTGATTTACAGTACTTTTGTAAATTTACAGTCTTACTGGCAACCAAAATTGCCAGTAAGTTACTGTAAATTTACAGTAAATTTTTACAGTGTATATATATATATATATAGAGAGAGAGAGAGAGAGAGAGAGAGAATGAGAGAATGAGAAAAGGAGCAGGCTTGTGTTAGAAAATTTTTTTTCGTATAAGTTCTCCTTTAATCATTCTAAATCCTAAATACCACTTGGTACCCAGCAGACATGGCACTGCAAGTCTGTCTTTCTGACTCTGATTCTCTCCCTTTGTATGTCAGACTGGTTTTAGTTCACTTCTTTCTTTAATTTCTACTGTTTTATTCTTAAGCATTATTTAAAAGGAGATGTTTGTTTAACATGTTTGAGGAAAATAGTGTTTGGACAGATCCAGAAAAAGAATGGTTACAAGTGGACTTAATGGTTATCATTATGGACAAATAGAGATTATAGCGCTTTGCTTTCTAGGTGTTGGTGGGACAATCCCAGGAAACCTTGAGCAACTTTGGATGCAACTGTCTGTAAATGACTGTTCCTAGTAGTTATAGTGCAACCAAGGAAATGGTATTGCCTATAATAACATTTGGTAAAACATGTAAAGTCTTGTTAAGTCATAATATGATGGTTAGCACAGGAAATATTTATACGTCACACTTAACACACTACCCATATTTACCCTAAAAAACAAGCAAATATAACATAATGTTACGAATATCTACTATAGCTGAGTCTGACTAATCTTGCTAATCTTCCTTTGGTAACAACAGTGAACTACTTACATACTGTAAGTAGGGCACAATGGGTTTGGACCAATTAATGATGACTCTGAGTAATGGCATGCAAGGCAATTTAGATAAAAGACAGAAACAAATGGTTAGGATTTTGATGGTTAGCATTAGCCAGTCAGCCCTGCAAGGCTGCAGCCAGACCCTTTTGGCCCTGACGGACAGATGCTAGGAGTAAAAGTAGCCATGTGTGATGAAATTGTGTAATCTCATGACATCATGACAATTGCCACTGAAATGAATGCTAACGGACTTTGATATTATAGATGTCTTCAAACCTATCAAATACCACACCCTCTATTAAGTACAACGAACACCGGAAATTCCAGTCTGCATTTAGTTTAACAGGTCAGAGAACTTAATTCTGAGTTAAAGACTTAATTATTAAGGTGTATTAATAAGCGGTGACAGGGAATTTCTCTACCACGTGAATCAGTGAGTAGCTATTTTAGTTTATTTAATTACAGTTTATATGTTGAGGTTGTTTTCTGATATTTGGTGTGTGTATAAATGTAATTTTTTTTACTTTATGGAGACATTTTTTCTATCCATATGAAAATTTCATTCAGCATGCATTCAGCATCAATATATTATTATTTGCATTATCTTATTATTTTTATCATTAAAAACAACTTCATATTAGCTACATATTCAAAAACACTTGCCTTGAGGTAACTAATGAAAATATCAGCCAACTACAGCTCACTGCAGTGTCTACAGAGGCATTAAACCCATAGGAGCCGCACTGGGCTCAACTGTCACCACAGCTGAGTCCTTCAGTTTTCCAGGAATCATTACTTCTCAGAAGCTCAGATGGAAAGGTGACGTTGTCTTTATAACAAAATAGGCATAACAAAGGTTGTACTTCCTGGGACATCTCAAGAAGTTCATCATCGAATGTTTCCTGAAACAATCCATAAATATCTGGTATAGGTCAGTCACAGCATCTGACTCCAGCACATTGTATGCTGAGCTAAGGAAATCATTGGCTACAATCTGTCCATTTGAACCACGATTCAGAAAGTTGGCAGTCAAGATCATCAGCAACCCTTTGCATAGTTCTTCAGCTGGTGCTCATTTTAAATACCTGGGGCACTTTGTCATCATTTCAGTCACTTTTTTGACCCTTGTATGCATGTCTAAATGTTTGGGGTTCTAAACTGTATAACACCCACAGAAGCACTGCACAGAAATATGAGCCGCACCAACTGAAGAGAATCATCAATGATTCAAACACAATCCTCATGTTCTATTTCTCTCTCTCTCTCACTAACACACACACACACACGCACAACACAGACACAAAGACTTAATTGTCCTGTGCCCATCTTCATCTAAGAACTATGAAGTTTTGGTGGAAAGTTAGGCTATTGTTTATTTCAAAAGTTCTAACTTTTGTGCTTTGAAAACCTATTTTAGAGATTACATTTAGTGGGTTACTTCAGTTGCTGTAGCTGCTAGTGATTACTTTTAGTGGGCTTAGTATTGTGAACGGCATCTTTACTATTAGAACATAATTAATCTTCGAAATTATTTCTTTTTCGAACTATAATCAACTATTACGCACTCGAACAGGCTTAGCCTATTAGCCTATTGTTCGTGAGTAGGTTTTGTTTAATTGACGTTAAAGGTGGAATGATGTTATTATCTTAAGAAGTTGTCTTAATGATCTCCGTGAGTCTTTATCGTCATATTTATAGCACAGCTCTGCCTAAATAAAAGCGCCGTGATGACGCACCTCAAATGCAAATATATACCTGTGTCGAAAGAGCAAACAACGCACCTGACGCTTCCCAGGGGATTTGAGGGAAGGCCGAAGTCTTTCTATTGTTCTAGCGTTTACACTGCTATGGCTGGACCACTCCCTGCAGTGACTGTGAATTGAGGTTTCGCATATCCCGCCCTCCCTGGAGTTCTGATACACAACGCCCCATCTCTTAACCATTGGGAAAACCACCTCGCCTGTAGTGGCAAACGGGCAGTTTTGACCGGCCAACACCATTTGTGGATTTATGTAAAAGTGTCAGAAGCTCAGGAGAGCAAGGGGACGTGAATTTCTCAGACGTTCGAAGACCGATCTACCGGGTTCACCTGTACAGGTAAGCGGCGAAGGGCGGCGTTTCGGTTTAGAAACAGGTGTTACGCGCAACATTCAGTGAGCACATAAATAGACTTCTCTACAGGTGGCCTAGGTGTGTCCTTTGGTTTCTCTTTTATTTAGCGGAGATGGCCGACATTTAAAGTCCATTTGAAACTGAACTCGCTTTCATGATATGGTTTTTATGTAATACTGTATCATGATGTGTTACAGAACCTGTCACATTATGCTTTTACATTGTTTCCTGAAGACTGAGGAACAAGTGAGCGTTTGGGACGTGATCTAAAGATTTCCCTGCTCACTTTTACCGGCCCCATTCATCAATATTTAACCGGCGAGCGATAGTTTAGCAGGGGGCACCTTGCAGTAAGACTGACATTCAATTCCCGTTCAACATCTAACATAAACTAAAATAAAGAGATAATGTAAGTTCTGATTGAAATATCTCTTCCTAGTCTCTGTTATGTTTTAATCTGTTATCATAATTTTCTTGTAAAGAATAACACTTTTGGATAAGGGGTTAAATATTTATGGTTTGACTGACTTGGCCTGTGACAGGTGTGATGTATTTTTACTTAATGAAAAAAAAAATGTTTTAAAACTAAATTGAAATATGTGTCAAGTCCTTGTTTGGTATATACCTATGTACTGTATAATTATACAATTTATAAACCTACAAAAATTGCCTTAAAGATGTCATTTAACCAGTAAAAATTGCTAAAACAAATGTACCCTGTATACACAAACGTTTTTTTTTTTCAAAACAGAAGTATATATTTTTTAGTCTTAAAATAGGGTTTTCTTAGAGTTTCTCCATTTGACTTGAACAAAATGTGCCATTTCATTAAAATGCATTAAAAAAAAAAAACTTAATGACCTTGATGGGAGTTTAAAGGGGTCTCTCTGTTTTATGGATTTCTTGTCACATGACAACAAAATGGCTACCTGCATGCATGGTTATGCTACATTGATTATTCGGACAAAACTTTTTCAAAAATTAATAATATTCATACTATATTTAAAATAAAACAAGTAAAAATAAAAGATTATGTCAAACTACTTATGCCAACATTTAATGAATCCAGGCCAAAATATAAGCATGGTCAACCTAGATCAGGGGTGGCGAACGTCGGTCCTGGAGAGCCGCAGCCCTGCAGAGTTTTGCTTCAACCCTAATCAAACACACCTGAACAAGCTAATCAAGGTCTGAAGGGTTATTAGGAAGCTACAGGCAGGTGAGTTTTAATTAGGGTTGGAGCTGAGCTCTCCAGGACTGGAGTTCGCCACCCCTGACCTAGATGAATGCAATGATAATATTGCTAATATTAATTTAGAGTTTTTCCTCAAAATCAATATCATATGTGAATTACATCCTCCAGGCCCCACTTCAGTGCTGAATGAGTGTCCTGTTTAATGTAATGCAAATAAAATAAAATAAATGAGAATAAAAAATAATATTAACAACTCCCACCAGTTATCATACAGCTCTCATTCATTTTTATCAATCTTGTCAAGCATTATGGATTTAGGGGGCATTTAGTAAATGTGTTATGTGTGCAGCGGGGGAAGGGAAGATCCTGTTTGGCCAGTTTAAAGTCTGTTCCTCCATGAGCGCCTGTTGTTTGGACTCTGCCTTACAGTCTGCTGTCATTATACTGTACCTGTGTGTATTTATTGTGAAATTCTACTGAATAGAACTAGGATTAATCAGAAAAGGTGTGATTGCAGAAGTCTAATGGCTGGGTTTATGAGATATTGTCATACACACCAATCCTATCTGTTTTCCATGACATTAGGATTAGTACTGTAAGATATGTTCAGCTGTTTTGTCCTCTTGTGAATAGAGGACATCTTTTTCCTCGAAAAGGATGTGGCCTAGTGGGTTTTGCATTTCTTTGCATATTGAAAGTCCATTCGAACTCGCAGACCACACGCAAAGCATTCATTAGCCAATCGCTTATTTTCACTAACGTCATTCTTTCCAGGTATGTAGTGTCTTCAGTGGGGGTCTTAGGTAGGGGTTTGTTCATTAAGCTCTGAACTGAGCACAGTCTTTTTACAACGTAAGGTCCTAGAATAAGTTTGCTACTAGATGTCTGTAGTATTTCATTTGTGCGGCCATAGTGAAACATTATAGATTTAAATCAAGTTCATTTGTTGCCTAATTTAGCAGTAAAAAGGCCTGTGATGGTCAGTTCACCACTGTTGTTTTTATGAATCATGTACCTTTTATTCAGTCTTAAAGTATCAAAAATAAAACAAAAGGCACATAAACGCCTTGTTTAGCTTCTTTTCATGAGCAGGGAAATCCCCAATTGTTGTTAGAGAAACCCAGATACCTCTAACACACATTCACCCTGATCACACCATGTGAGTTGTTTGGATTTGTTCTGAGATTGTCTGGGTATTCATTATCAGTTATCAGTTATCACAATCATAATAATGTGTCACGTGACCGTAGCACACGTGTGTTAATGTGACAAAGTCTTGAAGGCATGTAAAATGCCATGCTGATAACATCAATTTATATCTTCTTGTATAGATAACCTCTCCCTCACTCCTAGAAAGTTCCTTTTTAGTGTATATAGTCTGACACATGCACTAAATTTTAAATGTACAATTCAGTGTTTCTCTTAAAAATGTTACTGTAAGATGAGAATAGTGCTAAATCACAAATGCCCTTAAATAAAATAATGTTTTCATAAAATTATTCATATTAGTCTAAGCTTTTGGCTACAACAATCAAACATGGGTGTTTGTTCCCTTGTTATTAAGGAAAAATGGAATGCCATTTTTAGATAGACTGATTATCTAATAAACTAATTAGACTAATAAACTGAAATTATTATTTTTTTTGTCCCAATATATTCACTTTTTTCCTAATATTAACTTTTTTGGACCATTTAGATCACACAAACTATAATAACAACAATATTTATCAGTATTTGTATTTTAAAAACAAGTATATTATGTTTTTATTGTGGTAGTTTAATGATCATATAGTTATTATTGTCAAAAAGCAATTTTGTATCGTCATAAAATAGAACAATGGCTGATTTTGAATGTGGAGCGAAATAAAATAAGTTTACAATAGTCTGGAAAATAATCGGTAGCTTAATCAAGAGAATACATTTTTATCAGGTGGTTTTTGTGTGACAGCCTAAACAACAATGTGATCACATTATCGGCTTTATCGTTCATCTCAGCGTTTTCCATGTGTTTAATAGCGAATGATTCTCCTTTCTGATGGGCAGGAAACCTGAACCACCCATTAGTAACACAAGCTATGATGTTGCTAGGGTACAGCTTGACTCTGGCAGGGTTGCCGTGGCAACCATCAACAGTCTGGTATAAAAATGTTGTAATAGTGATAGCCCACCTGAAACTGAGAGAGCCAAATGGTGGAAGGGTCACGTTAGAAACAACAGCCGTCGTTTAAAAGCAAGGGAATCGGGAAATTTACCTCAACAGCTGGCTTATATGGCCTTGGAAACATACCTTCTTAGGTCTCCTTGTTCTCCTCACTGAAGCTTCACTGTTTCTGAACACCACTAAACACCTGTTGGTTATTTACATATAGGGGTTTTATAGATTTATTTAATCACTCTTGACATTTAAGGACATTATCTAAGGACAGTCATTCTAATTTAATTCTAATTTGCGTTCGGTAAATCTTAAATAAAGCAGCAACATTCATAGCTTCCATTTTCCCTGACAGGGACAATGCTTTTGTTTCTAGGGAGGGTTCCGTGCAGCATTGTTGTTTTAGAAATCTGAGGGATGAGAAATGTGGCAAACCTCATTTGAATGAATGCCCAAATGAAGATACAATTGTTTGTCAATTTATAAATGCAGACCACTCAGGGTCCTGTCTGCCTTTTAGAGACAACATAGAGAATAAAGACCCCCCTTTCCTTTGCTTTTTTGTGCTTTATGTGCATCTTTGTCTTTCTCCTCTCACACAATGACATACACCTGTTTATTGGATCCCCAGGCACGGCTTCTTGTAGGTTATGTTCTTTAATTAAGGTGTGAGACTAAAGAGATGCTTAAAGATGAAAGTCGAGAACACCAAAGCCTTGGGGATAGTTTAAAACATGCTATTAATGTCTAGGACTGCTAAGGCATGCAGATGTTTTTAAAAACAGTGCTAAACTGGTCATTTTAATTGGTTTATTGTATTTTTAAGGCACCAACAACTATAATTATTTAATTAACATGTAATTAGAATAGTCTTATGACTTACAAGCATGAAATGTTAAAACAGAGATTTAATGATTAAAATTTTTAGATTTAGTAGCTAAAAACAATGTGAGATTTGGCAAGTTTGAGTCACTTCCATGAATCAGTTCAAACGGTCTCTCAAGATTAATTTGTGTCATTATTTGAAAATGTACATGTTCCAGTGTGTAGGTATATAGGTAAATATTGTTCTTCATTATTGTATTTTGTTAAATTGGTACATACAAATAAAAAAAATCTGAAATATAATTTGTCCTTGTGTTCAATTGATTGAAAAGAGTGTGGGAAAACTTACTACAATTATTATCCTAAAGAACATATTTGGGAAAACAAATAGGAATTGGGTACAGTATAAACAACCCATAAATGTTTTAGTGTAGTTGGGAGCACGATGAAGCCATTTTGTGTGAAATATGTGTGTAAAGGTGTATGTTTGCAGATTGTGCAGTGAACATTGCTCACTGTATTAGAGGAAACAATCTACAGTGTCATAGGCCCACACATACTACCTCAGTCATGACGCACATTTTATCAGACACACAGAGAACACAGTGTGTGTCTTGGACTAGCGGATTGAATCAGTCACTGATTCCAAATGCTATCTCTTTGTATTTGGGTACAAATGCTTTGTACCTACTGCCAAAATGAATGATTTAGATTTAGAACATTTGCACTTTTATGACTATGCAAAGGCTTTGTTATGAAGCTGAGATTCAGGTGAATGGTCAGAGCTCATAAAATTTACAAACACATTTTACAATCATTAACAATAACAGTTATTAACAACTATTTTTTCCAGCTTTAGCTCATGCAACAGTAGCCTACTTAATAGGAGTTCGAAGTTGCTAATTTGAATAATTTGTGTAAAAAATCTCTTGGTCATTCTGAGGCTGTTAACAGCTAAAAGGTGATCACTACCATTAATTCCATTTATTGCTTTGTGATAACAGTTGCACTACAATGCTAACAAAAGACCACAATGGACTTTCAGTTTGGGAATATGGTTGTTTAGTATTGCTAATATTGTAACGTGCCTCAGTTGTGCTTTCATGGATGCTAAAATGCTAACAAAAGTATTGATGGTAATACTTTATTTAAAGGTTCAATTCTTGCTATTAACAAACCATTAACTATGACTTTTGCCTCAATAAACTCTTAATTTGTTGCTTATTAATAGTTAGTAAGGTAGTTGTTAAGTATTGGGTAGGATTAGGGATGTAGAATATGGTCATGCAATATATGTGCTTTATAAGTACTAATTAACAGCCAGTATGTTAATAATAGGCATGCTAATAAGCAATAGCGAGAATTGGTCCCTAAACTAAAGTGTTACTGCATTGATTTATGTAGTTGCTCAGTACAAGGGTCAGTGAATGATGGAAGTATCACTAATCATTTGTTGTCTTTCTTTCTGCAGTCATGAAGGCTTTTTTCCTGCTTGCCACATTGCTGTGGTGTTTAGCATCGAGTTTCTCATGGGCAGCTAAGATCGTGGTAGTTCCTCCAATTATGTTTGAGAGCCACCTGTATATCTTTAAGACCCTGGCCTCTGCTCTTCACGCCGAGGGCCATGACACAGTCTTCCTGGTCTCCGAAGGTCGTGAGGTCCCGCCTTCCAACCATTATCGTCTCCAGCGCTACCCTGGAATCTTTAACAGCACCTCAGCCGACGACTTCCTCCAATCAAAAGTTCACAACATCTTCTCAGGGCGTCTCACAGCACTGGAGCTTTTTGACATCCTGGACCATTATTCTCAAAACTGTGATGCTGTTGTTGGGAGTGCTTCTGTCATGGAGCAGCTAAAACGTGAACAGTTTGACCTCCTGCTCGTTGATCCCAATGAAATGTGTGGATTTGTCATAGCTCACATTCTGGGTGTCCAGTACGCAGTATTCAGCACAGGACTGTGGTACCCTGCAGAAGTTGGGGCGCCAGCACCCCTGTCTTATGTCCCAGAATTTAACTCTCTACTAACGGACCGTATGTCATTGTTCCAACGGGTAGCTAACACAGCAGTGTACCTGGTTTCCAGATTTGGTGTCCAGTTCCTGGTTCTACCCAAATATGATCGCATCATGAGGAAATACAACATCCAGCCATCTGTGTCCATGCATGATCTAGTTCAGAACAGTCGACTCTGGATGCTTTGTACTGACATGGCGCTTGAGTTCCCACGACCCACTCTGCCACATGTTGTCTATGTTGGTGGCATCCTCACCAAACCCCCCAGCCCCTTGCCACAGGTAAGAAACAAGTGCTATTATATTTAAACAATCTCTAAACATTGTTTTACTTTTTTGTATGGCATCACTTTGAGGGATGTACAGGATATTGGAACTATGATGACAGTAGCAAGCAAGCATAACTTATCATCACAGTGGAATTAAAGCTACAAGTAAATGGAAATAAACCAATGGAAATGCTCCTGTGCATAAGTGTACTTAACTAACTACTAAATTTAACGACTTATTCATTAGTTACTTATTAATGTGTGAACTACCCTTTTAATTTGAATCAGCTGAGTCATTTTTTTGCCACCTGTAAAAGTGTGATAAATCCGAGGGGTTTAATGCAGTTTCCAATGATCAAAGAAAATCCAGTTTTTATTGTACCAGTCTTTTTTATGGACACGTGTACTTCATATATATTAATAACTACAGTTGAATGAGCCAGTCAGTTCAAGTTGGCCTTTCTCAGCCCTCTTCATGGTTGCACTAAAATCTAAGATACTGGCATCATACACTGTCTAATGGTCTGACAAAATCCAAATTTTCAACATTTGGACTTCCCCTATGGGACAATACACACTGAGCTGCCCTATAGAACTGTCTTTTTTATGAACACTTTAATTTTGCATGGGCCTATACACACAAAGTCGGCTATTGTGCAATCAGCCTGTTTTGTGATGATGTTTCCTGGACACCATAGAGGGTGCATTAAAGCTAACCATCAGGCTTTATACTAGAGGCAGTGGTATAATGAAATCCAAATTTTTGAACCGACTCTACCATTCTTTTTTATGGACACTTGAACTGATAGGCCAAGTGTTAGCTTTAGCCCACCCTCTATGGTGCCTGAGAAAGGAGAGTTGTGTTGTGGTTTAATTCCATTGTGTTGTGGCTTGATGTTGTAAAATTATGTTGTGTTGTGCTGTACTGGGCCACTGTAGCATTCACTGTCAGAGAAAAAGTGCAAAAATTGTACCTTTAGGGGTACAACAACTTGAAGGGACACCTTTACATTTAGATTACCTTTGCCATCGTCTAACATTCACTTAATCTTTAAAAACACTAATAATTTAATAACACTGTCAAATGTAATCTTTAGCAAATATAATAACATTCATTTTCATACTGTACATTATAATTGTACATTATAATACTGTACACTAAATTTAGCATTTAAAATGAATGATTACAGTTTTTAGTGTTTTATTTTTTAATTTATTTAGACAAATTAGTACATAATTTTATAATCACCCATTTATCAGTTTTTGGCCATAGCATGAAAATAATTTAGCCTACATCTTTTATTGCCTACTAGCTCACATTCTGGATAAAAAACTAATGAACTAATGAATATTTGGATCAGATTAAGCATCAACATGTGTTTGTCTGCTCCACAATCTGCTGTTGGGACTACAGTTGCAATTTCTGTTCCAAAGTTCCCTTGTTCTTTCAATAAATGCATTGTGTGCACATGCAGTGCTTTTGAAGCTTGAGATCATGAATGGCAGTAAAATGACATCATTTTCTAATAATGGGGATCGACTGACGCATTTTTATTTCAAGATTTTCAGGATTGCCAAATATCTCCAGCCTCACACAAAATGGCCAAACTCCAAAATGCCACAACCCACTCCCTCAAACAAGTGACCTAGGTCCACTTTCCAGTTTAAAAATCAATAGGCCGGATGTGGTGAAAATAAACAAGTAGCTATATAAACATATATCCAGAAAATATCCAGTGTATTTAAGTCAATATTATCGCTGTTTTGGCTCATTTAATTGCTAATAATATGAAGTTTTGATTTTGCCACCAGGGCGTTATGCTCACAAAGGCTGTTCTTATCAATGCGGGTGATTGCGCAGAGCTGTCCACTGAATAGGAGTGGGGGTTCTGAACCTAAGCTTGCACTTTTGGAATACCAAGCACCCAAATGGCCTCATTGTATGCTTCAGAGCCATAATGCAAATAGCGTGTTTGTCGGTGCAGGGTGTATGAGTGTGTGTTTATGTGTGTAAATGTGCCCATTGTTGGGTGTGTATGAAGGACACTGAGACCAGTGTGAGGAGCGGACAGTCAGTGCCAGGCCAATGCAGGCCGTTCAGCTGCAGCTGGACTCCCTCAGCCAGCAAAAAATCAGGTCTTACACAAAAAAACCTACTCATTTTGAAGCTATGCTAACTGCTAACACAAAAGGCTTACACTAAGTTAGGGTGACCATACGTGCCATTTTCCCAGGACGCGGCCAGGATTTCTATATTGCCTAAAATATCTAGGTTTTGGCTTTGTTTACCTGTGCAGACCGATCGGTGTATGACATCAAAGTACCATACAGACGGTTATGCTTTCGAAACGCTCTCGAGGTACTTTGATGTCAAACACTGATCGGTCGGAGCCGCACTGCTTTTAAGTCGAACACACCTAATATGTACACGTAATTGCATCGCTTTGACTTCCTAAAATATCTAGGTTTTGGCTTTGTTTGCGTGTGCAGACCGATCGGTGTATGACATCAAAGTACCATACAGACGGTTATGTTTTCGAAACGCTCTCGAGGTACTTCGATGTCAAACACTGATCAGTGCACTGCTTTTAAGTCGAACACACCTAATATGTACGCGTAATTGCATCGCTTTGACCGTAGATCCCACCTTCTCACACGCCATGATTGGTCCAGTATGTACAATGCTTGCATGTTATTGGTCAAACTACTTTTCGATCATTACCTTCAGCAAGCATGAAAACAGGAAAACAAAGCCAAAACAAATCCTGGCCAGGACGCGTCCTGGGAAAATGGCACGTATGGTCACCCTACACTAAGTCTCATTAATAACATACATTTTTTGTGTTAACAAATTGCACTACAGTGCTAACAATGCACTTTCTATTTACCTATTTACCATAATCCACTTTCTATTTACCATATACCATATTTGCACTACTTACCATAATGACCAAGAGTTGCTTAGCATTGCTAATATTGTAATAGGCCACAGTCGTGCCTTAATGAATGCTAAATGCTAACACAAAGCCTTACTCATCTTAGATTTTTATCTTGCATTTTTGGAATATGTAAATATATAATATAATAATCAACAGCCAAATCTCAGAAATATGAACCAACTAATTAAAAGGTTAAAATGGCAAGCTCATGTTTTTGGTAAAACACTTATTGCTCACAATAATTTAAGTTTATAATTTGAACTGTAAATCTGTCCTTTTTAAAATAATAGTTTTTGTTGTAGGAATACTTTTCTAGGTGGATTAACCTCTGGTCATGTATTGCCAATTTTTACTCAGTATGATAGAAACATCATGTCCCTTTTCTGGCAATTTTGCACATATTGTGTGAAATTGCTGGGTTTAACAACATTATTTTGCAAATAGATGAAGTTGTAGACATGTTGAATGTGATGACAGATCGCATTTTCATACTCTCACATGGCTTGCTCTCGCTTCAATGTAGAATTATCTGAAATCAAATGACAAAATATCTTGACACAACTGTTCCAGAGCCGTCTATTTCATTTTCCCACCTTGGAGTTTAATATTAGCCATACAGTACCTCCTTTTAGTCTCAACTTTGTGTTAATGTTCTGCTTTAAGTGGCTTATTAAAGCTAAGGTCATCTTTTAATACTAAATCCAGCCAAGAGCAGTGAGGGGCTTTTCTTTTTCTTGTCAGTATTGTTGTTTGGTTAATATTCTGTGATTTTTTTTGTATGTGTACATTAACTACACGTGTTCAAAAATCCTTTTTATTTACCCCAGTATTAGTTATTAAAGCAGGATAACGTGATTCTTTGCTTTGTAGGCTCCGGATTGCTGTCCATGGATGTACTGAGGTTTAACATATTTTTAAAAATCAACTGACACAAGCTGAGGTTTTATCCAATCTGGCTCTTGATCTAAAGTGGGTTTGACACACCTGGACTAAAGTCTTATTTACAGCCCTTAAAAAAGACATTTGTACATCCCATTTATTTCATTTTCCATTGTGGTGGCATTTCAATTGCCATTGAAAATGGCATTTCTCTGTGGTTGACATAATAGGTAAAACAGGTTTTGAGAAATCCTAATCATGATTTTTTTCAGGTTGAAGGATTTTTAAACATGCAGTCTGTCTTTGTCAAAGGTAAAGTAGCTTGAGACATGTCCACACTTTATAAGCATTTTATATTATGAACCAAATGTTTTCACCTTGTTAGAAATAGAAAGTTCAAAGTTGTGAGTAATGTCACTTTAAGCCTTGGACAAACTATGGTGCAATGTGCTGGTGAACACTGATAATAAGTTGCATTCTTCAGCCATTTCATTGCATGTTTACAACAGCAGAACCTCATAAAAAACTTTTCATATTGTGTTGCTAACAAACCTTATGTTCTCTTCAGTTCAAAGTGCTTACCATAGTATCAGATGGTAATACTATGGTACTTTGATGTGTACTATGGTACTGAATAATTACCAGATTCATATACAGTGGTATTTATGTGCAGTTGTTATTTTACGGAGATATTTATAGCTTATCTGACCCCTAAAATAACTTTTATTGTAACCTAATGTAGTCATTTTAAATTATATTTTCAAGTCAAACAAAACCATTTAGTTTAAATGCTACCACATCTACCATGAAATTCTTTGAAATGTTTGGTCTGACTTTTGATTTCCATATAATGTTGAATTGCTTTGTCTTGCGAATATAGTCACCACAAATGTCCTCGATTGTTGAACTGTGTATTTGATTTGCGTGTGTACAGGAGTTTGAAGCCTGGGTGAAGGATACAGATGAACATGGTTTCGTAGTGGTGTCATTTGGTGCAGGAGTGAAGTATCTGTCAGAAGACATTGCTCAGAAACTTGCTGGAGCCTTGAGCCGTCTTCCCCAGAGAGTCATCTGGAGGTACTGCTGTTCATTTCTTCTTTCATGTTTTTCCAAAAGATCAAACCACCAGCGTATCTTTCCATTATAGTTTTTTTTCTTCTATCAAATAGTATCCATTGGCAACTGACCTGTGGTGGCGGGTCAATGATAAGTGTGTGGCTACAACTAACTATTTTGTTTTCCATTTCCAAACCAGTAAACCCTCATTCAAAATGATCTGATGGTTTCGTTAGACTTTCCAATGGTTTCTAAATGCAAAACTTTATGAATTCATTTTGGACTAAAGCATTGTACAGATTCACTTGTTTACTGAGAGTATTGTCAGTAATTATGATGAATCTCAGTATTTTTGTTTTAGATCCCAATAAATCTTCATCCTTTGTTGGCAGTGGAGGGACATTTGATCCTTTGAGATGGTGGTACACAAGTCATGATCCTCTTAAAATCTTAAAAAGAAAAAAAGAAAATGTGATGATTATTCTGATCATCATTTTGTATTTTGTTTTGTTGTGTTGTAAGAGTTTAAATCTTTCTCTGTAATGCACATGCATTACAATAGGCTCAGAGAAAAATACTCTCTAAAATGGTTTAAAAATGGTTTTTGAAACCCCGACCTTAATTTATATAGGAATTATGGGGCCCTTCACCCAAAAATGAAAATTCTGTCATTATTTACTTTGCCCTCAGGTCATAAACAGTTTGATTTTATTTATGTGGAACACAAAGATAGAAATTGTATAAAGAATTGCACTGTTTGAATGGGAATTGGGAACTACTGTACAAAAAAAGTAGAGCATACAATACAACTTGTGCTACAGTCCAAGTCATCTGAAGCCATATTATAGCTTTGTGTGAGGAATAGACAAAAATTTAACTTTACTACAAACGTGGAACCACTTTATTGATAATCATGGCAATTTTGCCATCTTTTAAGCTGGAAAGCCTCAGTTCCCATAAGGGATTAATTTTATGGAAACGAGCAAACACAGTGAAAGAAATAAAGCCTGGAATCACATGAGGGTTAATAAATAATGGCAATATTTTCATTTTTAAGGGAATGATTTATTTATATAAAATTTTATATGAAGCGGAATTGATAACATAATTTAGGATTTGAGAGGTGATCCTCTTATAAGTTAGCCCAGCTCAAAAATATGTTACTAGTGCATGTAAACTGTGAATTTCCCATTGGATTAATTTTGTTTCTTTAAAATTTTTTTATTTTTTTGTGTGAACCTGCATGGGTATAAGTGAACCTGCATGGTTATAAATAGCAGCACCTGTTGTTGTCATAGGCAGTCACATTGTCATGACTCCCGTAGTCATGCCATATAATCTCAGTTGCATTCTTGCATTCAAGCAAATGTGCCATGGCTTCACTAATGAGGACACAGATGGGAGTGGAAATGCCCAGGGAACACACACACACACACATAAATATACTGTATAGATAGACACACTCCAATGAGCTGCAACAATATACCACTCTTGTAACGTATTCAGACATGAAGTTATGAACATATGGCCTCAACTCTTTCCCTGTCTGCGCATAGATTATAGTAATGTTAATTAGAGTCACTGACTGCTGTCAGGTTTCTTAGTAACTGTAGAATGTTTGTCATTAGGTTTGGCACATACTGGCCTTTAGGCTGTGTGTGTTTGCTCACCAGTGACAGAGAACCCCAGCTCTTTACTAAATCTCAAGCCAGACTTCAAGACAATGGCTTCATATAATCTCCACTGGAGACCTCTTGTTGTATTGTTAGTTTAATTAGCAGATGTCCAAAGACTCTTAAAGCCAATATAAAATCACATGCTGAAGTAACATTTCTTATTATTATCAATGTTAAAAACAGTTGTACTGCTTAATATTTTTGTGGAAACTGTGATGCATTTTTTTTGAATTCTTTGATGAATAGAATGTTGCAAAGAACAGCATTTGTTTGAATTACTGTAGAAATCTTTTGTAGCAATATAAACGTTTTAACTTCACTTTCAATTAATTTAATGTGTTCTTGCTGAATAAAAGTATTAATTTCTTTTAAAATAAATCCCCAAACTTTTAAATAGTGGTGTGTGTTCCTGTTTTTTTTATACTGATTTATTAGTGCATTTTCTAAACACAAATTGTTTGTTCTCGTAATCTGAATATTATTCTCTTTTCTGCTGATGTCAGTTAGTCCATGTGGTCAGCAAAAAATGCTAATCAACTGCATTAGTAGCTTTTCAGGCATTGTTTTAGACTACTGTTGTAGGTAAAGCAGCCTTTCAATAATGATGCCAGTAGTTACCACAGTAATTTACTTCATCTTCCAGGTCCCATCCGACATTGTTTTTGCAGTTTGAATATTCTGTTTCATTTGGAAAAATGAAACAGCCATCACTTTACATAGTCAAATGGGTTGCGAATACAGTTTCATGTTGCCTTCAATGCCTTTCTCAAAAGTACAATGGTTGTAGCTCTTCATGTTTCGTCAAACCTCATGTGTAATGTTTATATGTAGTATCAAGTTTATATGTAATATATTGAATGCATTACTGCAATAATGTCTTTATAAGCTTTACAAGGTAGAATCTATCTGATTCCTGTCTGATTGTTTTTATATTTTTCTTTTTATTTCTCAATGTAAGTTTTGGTATTAATCTAATCTATGCATGCAAAATATTTGGTCTCTGTCTCTCTCATATCTTTGTCTCTAATGCACTTTTCCTTTTCAAATCCAAATTCCCGATCTCACTCGTATCTATGATGCTTTGAATAACTAACAAATTCTTAATTCTTGTCAGCTGATGATTGTCTAATCCACAATGTTTAAAGAGTTTGTAGAATGGGATGCCTGTATCTCAATGAGTTTAATCTCTGCAGGTTCTCTGGAGTTCCTCCCTCCAATCTGGGCAACAATACTAAACTAGTGGACTGGATGCCACAGAACGACCTGTTGGGTAAGTATCATCATATCTCTCACTAAATGCCACTGAGAATTCAGAAATGCATATGAAGTTTGAATGGCTTGAGGTATTCGGCCAATCACAACGCAGTGGATAGCTGGCCAATCACAGCACACCTCGCTTTTCAGACCAATGGCGGGGCATAGAGGAGAAACAATAATGTACAGTATGTGGAAAATAATGTGTTTTTTGAACCTTAAACCGCATAAACACATTTCATTACACCAAATATACAAAATAATGTTATTTTTAGCAACATCATATGACCCCTTTAAATCACTGAATCGGCTTGTTAGAATGAACTTGTTTGAAGGCTTTGTATATATTTTTATTGGAAAACGGATGATTTTTTTTTGCAGTGTGTGAGGGAGAGAGAGCTCATCCTCCTCATTGCTCTTTTCTGCATCTCTTAGGATAATGTCTCTGTTGTATAGAGGACACAAAGCCTGTGCATGTGTTTGTTTGTGTGAATGAGTTTCTGTTTCACCATGGGTTTGAGGTCACAGAGGGCCTTTCTGTCTCCATCATTCTTTCTTTTCTCTCTTTCTCTCAATGTCTTTCTGCTGTCCGCAACACTTCCTGTTCTCTGATGACCTAGTTGATGCATTCTGTGCTTTAATCTTAAATCAGTTTGATACACAAAGTCTGATACACAAAGTCAGTAAACAAGATGGACCCAAGGCATTTCTTCTCTGAGAAAAAACAAACATTTACTTGTTTAAAGTTCAGCTGGACTGAACTTCAAGATCAATGACACATGGTCAGCACTGTCACAATAAACATCAGTTGATTTTCCATTTTTAATCAGAGTGCAAAATGCGCTTACACACACTGTATGTAGCTTTATGCATAAAATGAAAATGTCCTGCCTCATGTCAGTACCAGTAAGGGAGTGATACTGTACACACCCCATCCTATCCGTGAGAAACCTCGGACAAATTTACAAAAACGTATGCAAATGTCCCTTTGATTTTCCTATGTGTCTTTAAATGTATTTTTAAAGAGATATAAGGGTACTAGATGAGCTAATGTACAACTAGTGACTCTGAAAGGTCAATAATACTCTTTGTTCATTGTGACTCATTCAGAGGAAGAAGTTAGCATGTACAGGGAGGGATGAGTGTAAAGGCCAAGAGTGGCTCATGTTCACACAGAAGTTCAATCATTAGATCATTATTGTAAACTTTTATTTTTATTATAATTATGATGCTTTTTGTGAGGCACTTATCACTATTGCCTGAATAAAAAATCCCCAATATTAATCTTTGTTCACTCATCCCACTGTTTATTCCATGTACATGAATTGTAACTCTAATCGCTTATCAATGAGAGGTATACCTTTACTATTCTAAGCAATCAGCGCAGCGGATGATAAACTAATGGAGGGACCCAAGAAATAAATCGAGAATCGAGAATATCATAGGGGTGGACTAAACTGAACACAATAGAAAATGTAAAAATCTAGTTTTAATGGTGCTGTATTTCATATCAAATATTATACAGTTTGTATTAAAGAAATCATCAATCCTAAAGAGGAGCCATCCATGCCATTATCCATTAACCCTGTTGTTACTACGGTCTCCCTCAAAATACCACCGTTAAACTATGATTACTGTGCAGAAACAACTATGGTATGGTAAATGTTCTGCCATTCATGGGATTTGTTGGTAAAATGCAAATTTTTTCAGTAATTGAAGTTTTTCTCTAACACTGTATCTGTTGTTCACTCACAGGCCAGACAAACACACGGGCCTTCTTGAGCCACGGGGGCTTGAACAGCATCTATGAGGCCATGTATCACGGCGTTCCCGTGGTGGGTGTACCGCTGTTCGGAGATCACTATGACACCATGACACGAGTTCAGGCCAAAGGCATGGGCATAATGCTTGAGTGGAAAAGGATGAGTGAAGAAGACCTTTATACTGCTATGGTTAATGTCATAACAGACAAAAGGTAATTCAGATCTGTATAAAATGCATGTGTAAAATGAATAAAGTGCGCACGCACGCACGCACACACACACACACACAAACAAACATGCTGTCATTGTAAAACGTCTATTAAAAAACAGGTAATACAAATCCAAACCCTCACACACAGAGCCTGGTTAATCTTTAATGACTGTGGAATTGGGGTTACTCAAGTTTAATGATAAACAAGACCTGTTGAAAACCCTGCCATGGTGTCAATATTTGCAGACCCATGGTGTTTTAACAAAACCAAGGGAGCCAAAGAGCAATGTAGACTAAAAAGGTTTTGTTCTACAGGCTGAATTTAGTGGTATTTCAGTTCACGTTGTTCCAAACCTGAATTACTTTCTTCTGGCGTAGAACACAAAAAGAGATATTTAGCAGAATGTCCAAGCTGTTTTTTCCCATAAAATGGTGGATTGAAGGTCATAACATTATATTACTCAAAAATGTTTACAATTATTTTTGTTATTAATAAAAATGAACCTTTTAATTTATTTCTATCAATATATATTTTTTCAAATTATTATTAATAACTAATTCTTTTGATTTGCATTCACAAAAATATGAAGATCAGATCTATCTTTAAGCTGGGTTTCATGGAGCTATGGTACAGTGCCATCTTGTGGCCTTTATATCAAGATCAGCATCCTGCTATCTCAGATGTTCTGAAACTTCTCCATCTCTCTTTCTATTAAGGTATCGTGAGCGAGCACAGTTGCTGTCTCAGATTCATAAAGATCAGCCTGGTCATCCAGTGAGTCGGGCAGTTTATTGGATAAACTATATACTCCGTCACCGTGGCGCCGAACACCTCCGCTCTGCAGTCTATGAGATCCCAACCTACCAGTACTTCTTATTAGACGTCGCTGTGGTGATAGGAGTGTGCCTGCTTCTACTTGGCTACTTGCTATACCGAATAGGCAAGTGCATCCAATCACGATTGGGGCGCGGTTCATCTCCAGTGGAGAAGGTGAACGGACACTGTCATAATGGAATTCCAAATGGCAAGCACAAAAGAAATGGCCATGTTAAAAGTATGGAGAAGAAACTAAAGTAAAGCACTAGGAGAAATCAACACTAACGCTTCACTAAAGAGAGGAATTAACTACTCTTCACTCAAAGCAGGGCCTATCCAGGAAATAAATACATGGGTCAATAAAGAAACAAACCAAACATGATAACAATGAATTGTAAGTGGGAAGCCAAAGTAAGGAAGAATGGAAGGAATCCAGAAAACATAAATGGAAAGCTCCTGAGGACGTTGTTTTCCCTGTTGAATGGAGATAATGTTCAGTTGTGGTCCTGAATGTTGAGATTATCCTTGTGGAAAAAGCAACGGTTTAGAAATGTATGTTTTTAACAAGAAGCTATCATGCTATGGGGCATCAGGTTTTACTACATCTAAATACAACAGAGATCTATATCTATTTATATAAATTTCATACATTTTGTGCATAGCACTGTTGACTGTTGTGCACTGAATTTAATTTATGTTCTATATTTATGTTTCACGCACTCCATCCCTACTTTGTTTTCATTTCTTCAGGAATAATAATTCTCAGACGTTAGCAAGCTAGCATATTTGCTAGTGTTTATGTTGCCAGCCTTGCCTTAATCTTTAATATGCTTTTCGTTTTGCTAACATTACAACCAGCACTAGCTAATGCTGCTAGTTATGCTAGCTATACAAAATGCTAGAGATTTTGTTAGGGATGTTAAACTTGAAATCTTCTATTTACAATAATTTTGGAATGCTAGAAGCCAGTATACTGGTATACTAACAGTCTTAGAGCATCTTAGCCACTTTTCCTGTTTTGTTTTGTTGTTCTTAGCTAATTGCATTTAATGAATTAATAGCAAAACTGTAGTTTCTCTTCAGATAAGGTGAAACATCCCTTCACACGATCCTTGTGTTGGCAGATATGGGTTCAAATGAGCAAAAGGAATCAATTTATTAAGCCATTTTACCCATACTATTGTGTTGCTCCATGGATGTTTAGGATTTGAAGTTTAAATTCTTCCTTACTGAAGTCATCTTTACTGAATGGTTTATTTTATTAAGCAAATCATGCTTAGGAGGAAAACATTTTTTAAATGGGGGGGAGGGGGGTTTACAGTAGTTTTTATGTGTGAGTGCCTGTGTGTCTCGAAATGTCCCAAACAAACTACATTTTTATTAGAACGTGCATCAGACGAGTGTTGTTATCAAAGCAAAAGATTGTTTGCTGACATGTTCCCACAAATCAGTAGGGGCCTAGAGTGACCTGGAGGAAATTGGTACTGTAATGAATATTTCCCATGGTGCTCTACTGGTTCTTTTAACCTTCAGCCATTTTCATTACCATATTTTGGTAACATGTCAATCTAACATTTAGTTGTGTAACTTTTCACCAGGTATTTTGAGGTGGCAATAAACTGAACTTCTGTAAATTATTTGTGCGTTAAAGTGCATTCTCAGCCTCAGAGGTTTTATTTTATTTAAAAAATGCCACTGGACAACCTGTTATAAAATCACATGCTGGTTTTACAACTCAATGTCAGACTGAACTGTTGCCTGTAATACTCTGTGTGATTGTTTTAAATGTACCACAACACTGTTCATATAAACATTATATTTCCCAGATCACTAAACAGTCATATCACCTTAAGAACACTAGGAATCACAACCAAAATGACTTAAAAGAAGATTCACTGACGTTATAATAATTTGAAGCTGTTTTTACCACGAGGTTTAAAGCATTTCTTCAGCCAAGCACTGTTTTAGACTGTCCATACTTGAAAATACACTGGCTGCAATATGGCTGTAAATGCATCAGAGCTATGACTGGTTAAACAGTGACGCACACTCACACACTTTGAACATTATAGTTGTTTTCTATTTGTTTTGTATGATTTTCAGTATTAATATTAGATGGATAACAACAGAGGAAAAAGCTGCAGATGGGCTCTAACGTGTGTGTGTGTGTGTGAGTGGTTATAGATTGTGATTTCTTATATGTGAGGTGTGTATGCGTGTACATTTGAATGGGGTTGCTTGAGCCAACTTGTGTCTAGCTTTGGCTTTATATACTGATCATTTAAAACCAATGCTCCGGTTCACTTACAGTACATCGATGCCTTTCTTTGTCTCTCGTAATCTGTTTCCTGATAAAGTCCTTGTAGAAGTAGTTGTTAAAGGCTGCTTGAAGGAGTTTAGTCTAATATTTTTTTGTTTTTTTTTTCATAATGATTTAATGTGTGTCTGTGTTATGTAAATAAAAAGACAAACAAAAATACTAATGGTAAATAAACATTAAATATTTTGTTTGCTTACTCCTGTGGTCTGATGATTCTCTCTCAATTGTGATGTAAAATAAGAAAAAGATACTGCCACCTGTAACACCAAAGGAAGTTCAGTAAGCTAGTCTGAAAGTTACAGAGCACATGTGTGGCGTCTCACTTCTGTTCTCAAGTTACACTGTCCCAAAGTGGTTTGTCTCGGTTTTTCCCATGACCTCATTAATAACCCTTATTCTGCTAAATGTTCTTGTGCATTTGGTGCTATCAAGTTAATATGGTTTGCTAACTCAGTATTGTTATCCTGTGAAAATGGTGAAGAGCTTTGAATACAATTAACAATTTGCAATAAAAAACAGCAGGGTACATTTTAGATTTCTTAGTTAATAAATGACTGCGAGGGGAGATGAGGGAGTGTAAAACTACACGCCGGTTGGTCGGCAGGTATCAGGTGTTGTCCTTATGTTTTCAGCACTGTCACATTAGATGGGTGTGTATCCTGAAGATGTGTGTGTGTTGATTAAGAGATAAACTGACACTTTATCCCATCTTTCTCTTAATTATTCACTGACAGTTTAGCATGTGATGTGTGTGTCTTAGTATGCATGTTTGTGTATGAAGACGGTTTAGTGCTAATTAGACTGTTATTCTTGTTTCACAATTAGACAAGCCAGGCTCATTGGAAAAACATGCCTGTGGTGATGTTTCTGCAAACTGATATTATGCTACTTGTTTGTGACACTTTTAAAGTGTGTATTTAGTGAGCTTATTCAGTTTATGAACATGAATCTGACAATGTTTTATGTTGGTTGGTGTACATAAAAAGCAAAATTTAACAAAAGTAAAGGGGAGATAAGTTGTATTTGCTGAAGCAACCATGCTTGTTTCTAAGTCCTTTGAGCTCTTTTATCATGATTCGTGTTTTACCGGACTTGCACCCAATGCTGTACCAGGTGAGTTACCGAGCAAGTTTACCATATTAGAAAAGCCAAATGGAGATGATGATGTGATGCAAATGTAAAAATGTATTATTTTACAAATCATGCACTATGGTAAAAGTGTTTTGAAATCATAACATAATATTGTGCAAGCAACTGTGTCTTTAATTTCGTCTTTAAAAATTAATAACCAGGTCGAGTAATCATAATTTGTGTAAACAGGGCTAAAGGTTGTTGATGTTTTACTACCACTAGTGTTCATTTAAGCTGGAAACTGCAGTGAATCGTATGTATAGGTGTGTTTTTGGAGTTTTGCAAAACTGTATAGTAGGTAGAGGCACTTGTTTTCCAATGAGCCTTGGTTGCAATTAGAAGAGCGTGCTTTTGGGAACATAAAGAGTAAGTGGAAGGTCCAGGTGTGATGCTCTTAGCTCTTTTGGAGTCCTCTCCCTGCAGTCCTCGAGTCCTCAGTGAGTTCAGAGAATTGATATGTCCTTCAAGGTGGCAAACTTCATTCAATTTCCAGGTCAAAGGCTGAAAGACAGAGGAGCGAGCAAACAAGCATCAAGCATCAGTCTTGAGAAGCACTCTTTCTTCTTCATTCAGAAAGGTGCCATGATTTGAGCCTGACAGGCTAATGAGGCCTCAACCCCTATAACCTAACCTGATCAGCCTGTCAGGCACAAAGTGGGGCACCTTGCATGCTTTTGAGCCAATTACCCGAGCCGTAAATGTCATGAGACTACTGTTTTAGACTGTCCATACTTGAAAATACACTGGCTGCAATATGGCTGTAAATGCATCAGAGCTATGACTGGTTAAACAGTGACGCACACTCACACACTTTGAACATTATAGTTGTTTTCTATTTGTTTTGTATGATTTTCAGTATTAATATTAGATGGATAACAACAGAGGAAAAAGCTGCAGATGGGCTCTAACGTGTGTGTGTGTGTGTGAGTGGTTATAGATTGTGATTTCTTATATGTGAGGTGTGTATGCGTGTACATTTGAATGGGGTTGCTTGAGCCAACTTGTGTCTAGCTTTGGCTTTATATACTGATCATTTAAAACCAATGCTCCGGTTCACTTACAGTACATCGATGCCTTTCTTTGTCTCTCGTAATCTGTTTCCTGATAAAGTCCTTGTAGAAGTAGTTGTTAAAGGCTGCTTGAAGGAGTTTAGTCTAATATTTTTTTGTTTTTTTTTTCATAATGATTTAATGTGTGTCTGTGTTATGTAAATAAAAAGACAAACAAAAATACTAATGGTAAATAAACATTAAATATTTTGTTTGCTTACTCCTGTGGTCTGATGATTCTCTCTCAATTGTGATGTAAAATAAGAAAAAGATACTGCCACCTGTAACACCAAAGGAAGTTCAGTAAGCTAGTCTGAAAGTTACAGAGCACATGTGTGGCGTCTCACTTCTGTTCTCAAGTTACACTGTCCCAAAGTGGTTTGTCTCGGTTTTTCCCATGACCTCATTAATAACCCTTATTCTGCTAAATGTTCTTGTGCATTTGGTGCTATCAAGTTAATATGGTTTGCTAACTCAGTATTGTTATCCTGTGAAAATGGTGAAGAGCTTTGAATACAATTAACAATTTGCAATAAAAAACAGCAGGGTACATTTTAGATTTCTTAGTTAATAAATGACTGCGAGGGGAGATGAGGGAGTGTAAAACTACACGCCGGTTGGTCGGCAGGTATCAGGTGTTGTCCTTATGTTTTCAGCACTGTCACATTAGATGGGTGTGTATCCTGAAGATGTGTGTGTGTTGATTAAGAGATAAACTGACACTTTATCCCATCTTTCTCTTAATTATTCACTGACAGTTTAGCATGTGATGTGTGTGTCTTAGTATGCATGTTTGTGTATGAAGACGGTTTAGTGCTAATTAGACTGTTATTCTTGTTTCACAATTAGACAAGCCAGGCTCATTGGAAAAACATGCCTGTGGTGATGTTTCTGCAAACTGATATTATGCTACTTGTTTGTGACACTTTTAAAGTGTGTATTTAGTGAGCTTATTCAGTTTATGAACATGAATCTGACAATGTTTTATTATGTTGGTTGGTGTACATAAAAAGCAAAATTTAACAAAAGTAAAGGGGAGATAAGTTGTATTTGCTGACGCAACCATGCTTGTTTCTAAGTCCTTTGAGCTCTTTTATCATGATTCGTGTTTTACCGGACTTGCACCCAATGCTGTACCAGGTGAGTTACCGAGCAAGTTTACCATATTAGAAAAGCCAAATGGAGATGATGATGTGATGCAAATGTAAAAATGTATTATTTTACAAATCATGCACTATGGTAAAAGTGTTTTGAAATCATAACATAATATTGTGCAAGCAACTGTGTCTTTAATTTCGTCTTTAAAAATTAATAACCAGGTCGAGTAATCATAATTTGTGTAAACAGGGCTAAAGGTTGTTGATGTTTTACTACCACTAGTGTTCATTTAAGCTGGAAACTGCAGTGAATCGTATGTATAGGTGTGTTTTTGGAGTTTTGCAAAACTGTATAGTAGGTAGAGGCACTTGTTTTCCAATGAGCCTTGGTTGCAATTAGAAGAGCGTGCTTTTGGGAACATAAAGAGTAAGTGGAAGGTCCAGGTGTGATGCTCTTAGCTCTTTTGGAGTCCTCTCCCTGCAGTCCTCGAGTCCTCAGTGAGTTCAGAGAATTGATATGTCCTTCAAGGTGGCAAACTTCATTCAATTTCCAGGTCAAAGGCTGAAAGACAGAGGAGCGAGCAAACAAGCATCAAGCATCAGTCTTGAGAAGCACTCTTTCTTCTTCATTCAGAAAGGTGCCATGATTTGAGCCTGACAGGCTAATGAGGCCTCAACCCCTATAACCTAACCTGATCAGCCTGTCAGGCACAAAGTGGGGCACCTTGCATGCTTTTGAGCCAATTACCCGAGCCGTAAATGCCATGACACTAACCATTTTAAAACCAATGGGAAATGATGTCATGACAATGTTTCCTGGCTGATGGCGTCACAGGGACATGTGGTCCAAAGCACTTCTCCTAAGAGGTAGCAGGGAAAAAGATAAGACCATAGTGTGTGTTTTGTGTGTGTGTGTGTGTGTGTGTG